CCTAACCGCCTATACTTTCCAAATTTTTCAAATCCCTCAATTTAACCCACCCTTTTTCCCTATTCCGTAACCTATAACCATCCCCCCATCCTTCTTACCATAATCCTAACCTTTTTTTCCTCCCCAACCTAAAAACCTGTCTCTCCTAAACTATAAGCTATTCCGTTTCCCACTTGATTCCTAACCTCCACTCTTCCCTTCCCTTCAGGCTAACCCTGCTCTTCTGTCCCCATCCTAACCCTAACACCTCCCTACTTTTTACCTTAAACCATAATTCTCCCTTCCTCCCCGCCGAAACCTAAACCCGGAACCCTTTCTCATTTACCCCACAAGGAAAAGACTATCACATTGGTTTTATTAAACTAACCCAGTCGGGGAGAACTGCTTTTTAACATACTCTGCCGCCGTTCCGTGGTCCAGCCCCGTCCTGCACTTTTTAACCAGTCTTTTAAAAAAAGGTCTTGTCCTCATAGAGCTTTTTATAACGCTTTTAAAAGGGTTTTTATAAGATCTTAGTAGGGCTATGTTTTTGGAGTTTTTTTAATGTTTTTTAAACGCCTATTTACGGAGAGCCAGTGCACCACGCAGGGCTCCTCAGGAGCCCTACGCTCTTCCACAAACTAACCAAGTCTTCAGCCTAAAATTAATGATTCCCCTCATGGGGACCTCCATTCCTTTACCTGGCGTCCAGGCTTTGTCCCAGTATCTGCAGGCAGTTGACTATGGAGGTGGCATTGTTTCCTGAGAAGTGGACAGAATGACATTATAAACAGGAAACTGTGTACAGTGGGTATGGTTTGAGGTTCCTATCTGTCAGGGATGTGATGAGTGAAGCACTGCAGCACACTACAGCTGTGTCGCAATTCTGCTGTACTTACATTTTCTATTTTGAGTGCACTGACAATAATAGCAGAAGGTAATGCAATATGAGTGCCCAGATGTTTAGATGTGCTCATATCTGTCAAAAAGTTGAGTGTGGATTACTGGAAACGTATTATCCTCAAGGGCCACCATTCTGGTTCCATAGTTTAAAAGAAATAGGGACCAAAAGTGTGTTAAAATAGCAGCCGACGAACACACAATTGTCAGTAAGCAAACAGGCTTGCAGATATGTATCATGACAATCGCGCTCAAATGTTGCCAGTAGTGTTTTGCAATTTTGTATAAAAAAAAGAGAAGCAACTTAAAGGGGACATATCATGCAAAATGCACTTTTGTACGTCTTTTATACATGAATATGTGTCCCCGGTGTGTCAGGGAACTCACCAAGTGTCAGAAAACCCAACCCTCTCTCTTTTCCTCCATACCCAAATCTCTAAAAACGGGGCTGCAACGGATCTGATACAGACTGATTTGAAATATCTCTGATGTCAGAAACGGGGAGCTCCGCCTATATGGGCAACTCTCCACCTTTCAGGGGAATGAGAGACCGCTCGAAAGCGCTGGAGACGCTGTAGTACATATGCCAGGCCTGTAAGTGGCTCTGTAGTCTGCCACAAAAGCAGAATCAGCACTTGCAAAAACAGGGCAGGAAAAGAGCAAATAGAGCGAAATAAGGCATGGCTAAAATGCATGATCTTGTTTGGTATTTTGAAAAAAAAACTTCACAGACATGTTTTATATAGGTATGGCCCTACAATATATGTTTCAAATATAGCATGATAGGTCCACTTTAAGAATTGCGAGTCTCATTTAATGAAAGTGCAAAGTAATTTACGGAAACAGCTGAATCCCATTTAAAAAACACTGCCCTGTCATAAATTCATATATTATGCAAACAAGTACACAGTCTACAGAGCTACACTGAAATGTTCTATTGGAAGTATACAAATTGAGACACAGCTGTAAACAAACCATATTCAACCTATTTAGAGCTGTCTGTCCATAGAAAACAAATCTGAAGAAATACATCCGTCATGTACGTGCTTTAGTAAATAACACAGCAGAGCATCATATTCAAGGAAGAAGATGTTCCTCCAAGAGATACATCTTCAACAGTTAAGAAAAGTAGAAATTGTATAAGCTTATTAATTTGAATAATTGTATACTGGAAATGGTACACATCAATAATAAACATCTTTATTTGCCCAAATGTGTTTACAGTTGTAAGACATTTTTATCGTTAAAGGTGGAACATCATTTTACTGAGTAGAATGGCATGGTGGAATGCTTGGATATGGTACAAAAAACTGCAATACACACCACACAAAGCACACAGCTGCTGTGCAGAGGATGATGACACACATATACACACACCTATAGTACATTATATCAATCATTCAGAGGACCTGACGACCATGCAAGCCCACAGTATGTTTTTCGTCTAAAACCTTTTGAAATTACAACAGCTAACAGCTATGTCTCAGGAGCTTAAATAGGTCATCCAGTAATCAATTTTTAATTATTGAGACTACGGTTATTTTACTTAGACCTGGAACAGATAGAGAATATACATATTTTGTCCTACCACACATTGTAAAAAGAATACTGTATGGAGAGATTTTCTTAATTTGTAATTCTCTCTTAGGGATACAACTGTATTATAGGCATTACCTCTGGTTCAACATTATATAAAACCATTCGTACTTCACTCATAATCACTGAGAACAACAGCAGAGGTGGAAGCGTTAAGCATGAATGTCCTTACCAAATAAGGATATCCTATGTCTGACAAGAACTCCTAGTTTGCAGAAAAGACTGAAAAGATCCAAGTAAGGGAAGCAGAGGAAGAGATAAAAAGGAGATATAGAGGCACACACATGTCATTCACATGAAGTCCATTAGAAATGTCCAACATACAGTCTGGGTCTTATTCAGCAATTAAACAAAAGAGTGAGTGTGTCGCCCTGAAATACTGGCATTACTGGCTTTGGTCGGTCTATTGTTGTATCACACTCACCTGGTCACCATCTCCTTCTCCTTGTTGGAGGCGTGGCCTCCGCTGCTGATTGGATGGATGGCTGTGGAGAGGAAGTACAGCCTGTGGTTTTTAAAGTACTGATCCACCAATGGCAAGACGACCTGAGGGTGAAATGGTAAAAATACACAGAAAATGTAGTGTCTCCATTTTTTTAATTGATTATATTTCACATCATTCATCCAGATCTGGAAAGTAACTAAAGGGATTAAATACATGTAGTGGAGTAAAAGTACACCATTTACCTCTGAATTGTAGTGGGGTAGAAGTACAATATAGCAAAAAATGGAAATACTCAAGTAAAGTACAACTATCTCAAAATTGTACTTAAGTGCAGTACTTGGGAAAATGTACTTAGTTACTTCCCACCTCTGTACAGTGTTTCCCACAGATCTGAAATATACTTGTCGGGGTAGCCGGGGGGTGGGGGGGAGCACGCTCGTGAACTGTTAGTTCGCCGGAGCCTCGCAGCGGGGTTACCGCATTTGACTCCTCTGTTTCTCGTAAGGTCTCCCTTTCTGTTGATCGCTTCTTAGCAGACCATTCACGCGATAGCAGAGCAAACTGAAGTTACCTACTGTAACTCCAGCTTCTATGAGTATTGGCGTAGCCCTCTAAGGCTATCGCTATTGGGTAATCCCCCTGTGCACCCACACATCACTGAAACACTTGTAGTCCACGCCCACCCGCAAGGTGGGCCCCACCCTCGGGCTCCCTTCCGGTATAAATAGGAAGGAGGCCCGACAATCTGCTCCCATACAAAATAATTTTTCTTCAGCTATTCGTGGAGCCAGTGGGGCTACGCCAATACTCATAGAAGCTGGAGTTACAGTAGGTATTTCAGTTCTATTTCGTCCCTACTGACCTCCAGAGGCGGTGCTTTAGCACTGGATATGTCCATCGCTCGCATGCGCAGTTCGAGTACCAATAACAACAAAGTCACCTGTGACCCACGTGACACCGGCTATATCAGCCAATGTCGTCAGAGGATCTGTTCCCAGAATCTTCTCGGGAGCACACAAGAATTCTGAGTGACAGGAGGTCATCCGGGACTCATAGAACCGTAGTTACAGCCGTAACACTATCGGTGTCGTCAGAGGATCTGTTCCTTTTAATCTTCTCGCTGCACGAGAGTACCGTGGCTACATTTTTGTAGCCTACAGCGTTCGTTCGGTTGGAACATTTGTCAAGGATTCTCTGCAAACAGCTGGCTGCGTGCAGCTTCGCGACTCATCCAGTCGGGGCTGCAGGTTTACCCGTCCTCCAGGAGCTGTAGCTTTGTTCAGACAGGTTGGTGTCGGCTTGGTTCGTGATGGCAGTGTTTCCGCTCCCTCTCCCAGCCTAGTTGTCCTGATTACTGTCTGTTTGCTTTTGAACTTTTTTGGTGACGGAGGTGTTTCCGCTCCCTCTCCCAGGAGTTGCCCTTGCTGTGCTTTGTACTTGTTCTGACCGCGGCGTTGTGCCAAACNGACGGGTTCCCACGAAGGGTGAACGGTGAGGTTAGCCCGGGGTAGGTCGGACCGTGCGAAATTTCAGGGGTGTCCTCTCGGCGTGCGGGCTCAACGACACGGGGACACGCACGGATTCTCGCATGCAAACTACGATGCCGCGACGTATGGCGGCCGCCAGTCTCGTCGAGAAGCAAACGGTACCGCCGTGAATCCTTCCCAACACGAGAGAGGTTCGTCGCCGACAGGGTGTACCAAACAACTGTGTTAGCGTGTAACGATAGCCCTGTCACCGGCGGGGACGACTTCGGCCAGAGGGCAACACAGGAACCATCGGAGTTCCACCTCAGGCATGTACTGCTTACGGAGAGGGCATGAAGCTCTCCGACCCGCTTCCCTGAGGTTATGGCAAGCAGAAATGCTGCCTTCAGGGACAGCCACTTAAGCCCAACCTGGGCCAGGGGCTCGAAGGGAGGAGATGATAGGGCATCCAGCACTAGGGGCAGGTTCCAAGCCGGGGCCCTTGGGGTGCTAGGGGGACGCTGCCGTAGAGCCCCTCTTAGAAAGAGGGACACCAACCTGTGGCGCCCCACTGTGGCGCCATTGACTCCGACATGTTGGGCAGAGATAGCAGCCATATACACCTTCAAAGTGGAGTGAGAACGTCCACTATCCAGAAGGGACTGCAGGAACTCTAAAACGGTGGCCACGGAGCAATGTCCCGGATTCTCAGCCTTACTCAAACACCAGTGGGAGAAGAGCTTCCATTTGCACTCGTACTTTGCGCGAGTGGATGGTGCTCTGACATTCAGGATGGTTTCCCTGACAGATGCCGTAACAACGCTCAACAGTGGGTTGGGCCCCGCAGAGGCCAAGCCCAGAGCCGAAGGCGGTGCGGGTTGGGATGCCAGATCTGACCCCTGAGCTGTGACAGAAGGTCCTTCATGTCAGGCAGGCACCATGGTGGGCCGCAGTAGAGACTGCGCAGCGGGAACCAAACTCTCCCGGCCAGCGGGGGGCGACGAGAAGGAGCCTGAGTAAGGAAGCGTCTGTAATAACAGCGGCAGCTGCGGGAAGGCATACAGGAGACTATCTGGCCCCTTGGGGGGGCGGCGGTAAGGCTCTGGGGCACGGGGCTGCCTAGAGGGCCGGCGACCGCGGGCACGAAAGTCATTGGTAGACGGTTGAGTGGACCGCTGGGACCTCTGCAGACCATCACTGTAAGTCAGTGGCAGAGTGCGGCTGCTAGAGGGGCCCCTGGGCCTGCTGGGAGTGGGCACAGGCCTATGAAGACCCACCCACTGGGCACAGAAACTCAGACGTGCCGTTCTCCTGAATGT